CCCTTCCTTGTTAACGTTTTTTCCCCTGCAACTACAGTTAATCCCCTACCTCCTATCCACGGGATGAAACAGTGTTTCTTCTCTGCTCTTCCAACCTCATTTGGCCCCTCCCTGCAACAGGCCTCCTCCTTCTTCGTCCTTTGCTTCCTTTTGTGCCTTGGATACACAGAACAGAATTGATTAGTCTTCGTGATCCAGAAGATACTCATTTGTGACCCTCGCAAGCGAGGCTCCTGTCTAAACCAGCGATTTTCAACCCGTGTGTGGGTCATGACCCACTGGGGTAGTATATCAGATATCCCGCATATCAGATACTTACATTATGAGCCATAACAGTAGCAAAAGTATAGCTGTGAAACAGCAACAAAGATAATGTTATGGTTGGCGGGGTCACCACAACAAGAGGGACTGTATTAAGGGCTAGGTTGAGAACCACTGTTTTAATTAAAACAGTATGGGTCCATAAAAATTTCCAAACACAGAAAAAAAAATAAGGTAACAAATGTGTGTGGTCCCATTACTTGCATCTAAGAAATTGCTAGAGAAACTAATCAGAGGCCCCAGTTTTGCTCCTCTTTTAGGAAGACTGACCCCAGTGACCCCACGCCCACGCACAAGAGCAAGGTCCTTAGGTGGGAAGTGATGAACTTCAGAGCAGAATTGGAGGAGGCAGCTTTCATTGCATCCCAGCGCAGCAATACCTGGCACTTAGGTGACACCCATATGTGCCTGTCACCCGTCTCCTCTGTGCACGTATGAAGTCGCTGGAGGCTGGGAGAACCCCGTGCCGGATGCCTGAAACCATACGGTCTGGAAGACGCAGGGCCAAGGGTTTGAAGAAGCCAGGCATGTGGCTTTAGAGCTCATGAATAACACCCCCCCAAGTGTTAAGCGTTGAACTGTGTTAGAAGGTCCAAAGGTAGCGTGGGTTTCCTGATCTCTAACGGTAAAGAAACGGACAGCCATTTGGGGTATTTTACGTTGAAATTTGTTTCTCGTGATGAGACAATTTCTGCTACTCAGAACCACCAGTGAGGTCATCTTAACCCCTTGGAGTCGCAACTGTCAAATCAAACTTTAGGACCTTAGAGATTGTACCCTGCGTCCCTGGATGTCTTTATGCCTGCTTGTTGCTTGGACCTTGAGTTATAGATTTTTCCTTCAAATAGGACTTTGAACCAAAATTTAAGATTGTGTGTGTTTTTCTTATTAGGAGCTTTTTGCTTGAAACTTCCTTCTACTCTTTGAGGTATATTTACTATTTTCTGATATTGTGTTATGCCTGCTGTTATGCCTTCCAAATGGCTATTAGAGCTTTCTATCTTCCCATAAAATAGTTAACCGTGAATACCTTTTGTACGTGCAATTTCTCAAAGCCATTCAGAATGGCAGGATTCTTTCAAACGGCTAATTACTGCAAATCTGATGTCTGTGTAATGCTATCCAGCAAGCAGCTGTTTCGCATGAAGAGAGGCTAAGAGCTCTCTTTGGTTTTGTTCATTTAAAATCATTTGCTTCTTATTTAATATCTGCAGAGAACGCAGTCACATCATAGTAGAATGTGCTGTTGTGAATTTTGGATTGTTTCCACGGGTTCCGCCTTACATCTGCATGGTGTTTAAAGCCAATGCTTCCTTTCTCTTCGCAGTCATTCAGGGCCTCTTGCTTCATAATCCAATGTCATGCTGAATGACAGAAAATTGAAGTTGAATTTATCCGACTACAGAGGAGGACTGCACAGAACAATACACTTATTTAGGAACTCCTTGCCTCAGAAACTGAAGGAGCTGTTTTGTGCAGGTGGCTTAGACTCTCCGCTGTGTACCCTGACCATGTTCCTTTATTTATTAAGGACAGGAACTGGGCACTCTGCTTCTGAAAACAAAGGGCCCTGCTAGTCTACCAGAACCTTTAATAAGCCTGTTCAGTGCTTACACATCATTCAGAACCACAGAGACACAGCCCTTGTTTTTGTTTTTTTTAAAAATAATCTTTAGTACTTCCTGATTACAAAAAAACCTACCAAAAAATGAAAAGCAGCCATGAAAATATATAAATCAACCCCCAATAACACACCAGGGGGCTTTTTACATTGTGAGTTATTCAGAATAAATTGTGTTTCCTCAGCTCTAGATGATGTTTTTCCTCCCTAAATAAAATGCTTTCTTTGTTGGCACTGCTTACATTTCTGTTTCTGTTTACTCTTGCTCGGTGTGACAACCTTCATGGGTTCCTGTTTTACAAGGCAAAACATTTACTTACTCTACCAACATTCAGAGCTGTGGTAAGACACGTGGCAGACTATAATGGGGACGGTGTCTCTCTGCTGGGTCTACAGTGTGAACCAGAGGCTAGCCTGTGTTTATTCTGAAAGTGAGAAGAGAAGGGAAGCATGTGGTAAAAAGAATAGTCCTGGAAGTACAACAGTTTTGCCATCATTCCCGCATAGGTCGTGTGGCACGGTTTGTTTTAGTTGGAAACTGGTAAATTCCGGAACTCTGATGCATCTGTACATTCAAGTGTGAGTCTCGGCATACTTTTTCATGTTACCAAAGTGAACTTGAATTATTGGCTATTTTTAGCATCTACTATCCTACCAATTCTCAGGTAATTGGAAAGTAATTACATAAAATTTACATACAAAGTAACAGTTCTTTGGGGGTGTACTTTGAAGCTAATCAATTTTAACTATAGCTACACTTAGAAATAATAACAAAATGTATCCCGTGGGCTCAGACCCACACTTAATCTAGTTTAGGAGTCTATCCTGACAAAATTACAAGGAGCATCCAACAAGAAAGCAAACTTGTCCTCAGTGTTGTCGGTTCCACAGAATCGGTCACAAGGACACCATGTCTTTCTATCTTTCATTAGTCAAACAGTATTTCTTATTTTGTAAAGTATGTCTCTTTAGGAGTCCAGAGACTATATAGCTGGCCTACAACAATGCTCACCACAGTTCTCTGACAAGTATAATATTTACTTGTGGCTTTTATGTTTCAAGAGTCAGTGTGAGCAAGGCAGGCAGGACTCATTTTGAACCACTGGACCGCTCATAGCTTGCTGAGTGAACTTTAATAAGCTAATTACTTTCATCTTTACACTTTCTACTTGCAGAAGTCAAAATACCCGCTCTCTCTTCTGGTAACAGTGACCACGAATGAAATGAGGTAGAGAGAAGGGCACTATGCTCAGCACGGGGCCATAGTATGCCCTCAGTGAGCACCAGCTCCTCCCTCCCCATTTTTCAGAGAACGAGGGAAAACCTGCCGGAGGTGTCTGAAGTCTACTGGAACGTAATAACACTATGACATAGTGCAGACCATTCAAGATAAGCTTTCGGGGTTTTAAAAGATTTTTACTAAAAAGGTTACTTTGTATTATTACCTCTTCCATTACTGGAGAAAAGTGTACCCTGAAAATATCATTAGTTAAGTCAGGAATGGAATCTTGTTTTGAGAGGTCTTCTCCACAGCAGACTTCAACATCAGAGAACATCTCTCTCTCTCTCTCTCTCTCTCTCTCTCTCTCTCTCTCTCTCTCTCTCTCTCTCTCTCTCTCTCTCTCTCATCTGAAAAATGAGACAATTAGAACCTATTTGGCATTTTGAAGGGATAAAATTAAATAATGCATGTAAGGAGATGTTGGTCAAAGTACACAAACATTTCCTTTAGATGGGTGAGGTTTAAGAACTCCACTGTACAGCATGGTCATTATTAGTTAATAACATTGTTTAGAAATTTTAAGAGTAAATTTAAAGTGTTTACACCTCAGAAAATTAGTACTGGCGTAGCACATTTGCTAATAAGCTTGAGTTATTCAGGCCATAATGTATACATGTTTCAAAATATGGTGTACAGGATAGACACAAAGTTTTATATGCTTATTAAAATAATTAGAAATAATGTATCTGGCCAAGTGTAGTTGGGAGGCAGAGGCAGGCGGATCTCTGTGAATTCAAGGCCAGCCTGGTCTATAGAGTGAGTTCCAGGACAAGCTCCAAAGCAATACTGAGAAACATAATATAAAATAATGTTTCTGAAAACACTGGGATAAACATAGGTTTTAATATAAGTGTCTGGAATACTCTTATAAGAGCATTTGTTTAGCAATGAATTTGCTTCTGATTTGAGAAACTAGTTCATATATATATGATGAGAAAGCATGCTGAAGATTTCATAGAAGTTTGGCGTGTGTTTTTATGGTGCTGCATAAAAATGTCCAAGTTTACTATTAAAAGTAGGTTAAAAGTGGGATATTAGAACTCTTGAGGTGGCTAGAACATAAAAACGTTGCAATTCCCTTGTTTTGATTTTCCGTTTTCTATATTAACTGGTTAGTTCATTTTGTATAGTCTCCTTTTATACTTTAAATTATTCCCAGAGAGTTAAGTACCCACAGGCTGTCTGTGGAGTCAGGGCTCAGGTCACAGCTCTTACAGTAGCCTAAGTGGCCGGACTCAGGTAAGCCAAGACTCTGTACACATTACACACGGCTTCTTCAATCATCCTTTTGAAACACTTCCTAAATTTCCTAGATGAAGACTATGTGGAAGCCAATTTTCTAAAGTATTCTCTTGTCTTTTAAAGTTGTTAAAACGCCTTTTAGATGCTACTCGGAGTTAACCAACTCTCATCCTAGAGCCTGGCACATGATTTGTCTGTTTCATTTCTACCCAGAAGACTCAGTTGGTTTGGGAACAGAAGAGGAAGCTCAGACAGCCAAACATTTCAAGGAGCCACCTGATCAGAAATGTCTGGAGCGTACAGAGATACAAATTTCCTTTTTAAATGCTGGAAGGGTTAGCCTGTTAGGTGTTTGTAAATTAGTCTGATGGTAGGTGGGGCGTTGTGGGCCATGAACGTGTTACGCAGAACCATAGTAGGCAGGTTCCGTGTGTTGTTCTCTGGAAGCTACAGGGAAACTTCGGAAGACGTGGTTAGTTTGTGAAGACACCCAGACACGGGTATACTAACGAGCACGCTGCTGTGTCGTTTCAGACTTGCAGTGTCAAGTAGAGGCCCTTGGGCTGAGACTTCAGAAGACAGTGATGGAGCTGGACCACTGCAAAGAGACACTCATGTAAGGCGCAACGCTTAACAGCTGCAAGAGGGGATTGCCCACTGACGCGTCACAGAGCATCTTTGCAAAGACCCCGGTGTGTTGTCCCTGGGCAGGGATTCCGTGGTGTAGGTGAGGGGCTGCTGTGGCTTCTCTTGGCTCTGTTGTGGCACTACGTTAAAACAAAAAATCGAAGGACATGCCACCATTTTATCTCAGGAAAGTGTTTTTGTCCCCCTCCCAGTAAAGAACTTAGGAGTTGTTTCTTGGCCTCTTGGTTAGGATCAAGTATAGAAGTTACCTAGATATGTGTATCAGTGATTTCTCTGGATGCTCAGATGAAGTAATTATCTCATTTTTTTCTTATATTCCTTTCTTTACTGTCTACAATTTTTAAATTTTATGAATTGTTATTTCTTAAAATATCTAATTTTAAATTCAAGACAGGGTGCTTTTGAAATGTTGGCTATTTATGTTTTATGAGAACAAGAAAGAATTGTCGGGAAGCAAACGATAAGGAAACGACCACGTAAAATGTTCAGAGGTGGCGAAATGGCTCCTGGATGAAGCACTTACTGTGTGGAATCCTGTGTTTTGAACTCCCAAAGCTCATTTAAAGCGAGGCGTGTGGCACCTCCCCATAGCCTCCGTGTTTCTGTGATGAGATGGGAGCCAGAGGCAGGAGAACCTCTGGAGGCCATTGCCAGCCTAGCATTAGGCAAAGAGTCTATCTCAACCACGGTGGATGATGAGGACCTTCACGTGGGCACCGTGGCGCGCGAACACACACACACACACACACACACACACACACACACGCCTATACACACAAAGGTGTGCATCATACACAGGATGGGGGGAAGAGGAAGAAAGAGAAAGGGAGAGAGGGAGAGAGACGTACCATACACACATAAAAAGCACCCACAAGCAGTATTTGTTTTAAAAAAATTAATTTATTACAGCAATTTGAAAGACTACTGTATGCATAAACATGGTGTATCTACAATTATAAGGCTAAAATAAGATGCAAATGATTTTTGAAAGTAAAGCACATCATTTTACTTCTTGATGTATAATCTGGGAGCCCTAGTTTCAGTTCCTGTATTCACAAGGCTCAGACTCATAAATACAAATATTTAGGATGCTTAGCGACCGAATGTTTGTGTTGACCGTGGTTGTTCCTAAGAACAATGTGTTTAATCAAATATTGAACAAAGTCCAGAAACGTCCAATCAAATTAGTGTATAGTTAGATTATTTGTAGCAAGGGTTTTGTTTTAGGAAAACAAGAAGTTAGCAGGGCGGTAGGCCCGGAGGTGTGGCTGCCTGTGTAGGATGCTGGGGTGAAGGGGAAACAGGGAGTTCCTGATGCTTTTCTTCCCCAGACCCGGGAAGTAAGTTCTGGGAGATAAGGAACATTAAAAAAATCCTTGTTCACTCTGTCTATATCAGAAGAACTGTGTCCTTATGGACGGTTTGTGGAGAAAGCAGAATCATTAGACCCAGCTACTGCATGACATTTGCTTCTCTTGTTATTATCATTATTATTGGTGGTGGTGGTGGTGGTGTGTGTGTGAGTGTGTGTGTCTGTGTGTGTGTGTGAGTACGTGTGAGTGTGTGTGTGAGTGTGTGTCTGTGTGTGAGTGTGTGTGTCTGTGTGTGTCTCTGTGTGTGTGTCTGTGTGTGTGTCTGTGTGTGTCTCTGTGTGTGTGTCTGTGTGTGTGAGTGTGTGTGTCTGTGTGTGTGTGAGTATGTGTCTGTGTCTGTGTGTGTCTGTGTGTGTGTTTGTGTGTGTGTGTCTGTGTCTCTGTCTGTGAGTGTGTGTCTGTCTCTGTGTGTGTAAGTGTGTGTCTGTGTGTGTGAGTGTGTATGTGAGTGTGTGTCTGTCTCTGTGTGTGTGAGTGTGTGTCTGTGTGTGCGAGTGTGTGTCTGTGTGTGAGTGTGTATGTGAGTGTGTGTCTGTCTCTGTGTGTGTGTGAGTGTGTGTCTGTGTGTGTGTGAGTGTGTATGTGAGTGTGTGTGTCTGTCTGTGTGTGTGTGTCTGTGTCTGTCTGTGTGTATGTGTGTGTCTGTGTCTGTGTGTGAGTGTGTGTGTATGTCTGTGTGTGTGTCTGAGTGTGTGTGTGTCTGAGTGTGTGTGTGTCTGTGTGTGTGAATGTGTATGTGTGCCAAGGAGGAAGCGTGCCACCTCATGGCAGTCATCACACTGAAGGCTTATCAGGGACTGCCTCGTGATGGCAGAAATACCATGCTGCTCTGCTGGCTAGCAGAAGGCGACTTTCCATCCGCAGGAGACGTGCTTCAGGGAAAGAGCAGAGCAGGTTCCCACTTTTAGAAAGTGTGGGTTGTAAAAGAGCCACTTGAAACAGTCCCTGGTGCTAGAGGTCTTGCTCCATACACACCTGTGCCTCTCCTGTCTGTGTCCAGCTGCTCTCTGTTTCCGGCTTTGGAGTGAATGAGTTGGGGGTGGGGAGCATTGGTATCAAAGCTCAGCAAACTTCACTGTGCTCAGAGATCAGCGGGTTCCTGCAGACACCGTTCTTAATAGGTTAGAATTGAATTTGTCTTTCGACCAATAACAATTTGAGGTCAAAATGATTTACTGAAAAATCTGATGTGAAAGACCCGGCTGGAGAGACTCACAGAAACAGCTGACCTGAACAAGGCGGAGCTCATGGACACCAGACTGATGGCTGGGAGACCAGCACAGGCTGAACCAGACCTCCTGAACATAACAGGCTTTCCTGAGTGCCCCTTCATCTCACCTCCAAAAGTAAACAGAGAATTGTAAGTGCCCCTTCATCTCACCTCCAAAAGTAAACAGAGAATTGTAAGACGAAGTCTGAGCACACGAAAACCAAGTGGATGACAAAAACTATTCTAAAGCCAATCCCACCTCTCAAAGTGACCAAGAGTTCAGGAAGTAAAACTTTGACCCTTTAAGAAATTCAAGTTAGCAAATAGAAAACATGAAAATTAGTATAATTGATATGCACTAAATGTATTCAGAATTATATCTATAAAAGAAAAAATATTATTCAAAAAACAATTAAGAGCTGAGAAATTAAACATGTGACCATAAAAATTAAATATGAGTGTATATACTGAATGGACTGAATAAATAAATGATAGAATTATGTACAGCTCCCTGTGCCAGTAATGCTCAGGCATGAGAATGAGGTTTTGAACAAACCTCAGTATGCTTACCTATTTCCTGAAACCTGTGTTCATTTTCATGAATTGCAGTAAAAGGAACAACTTCCTCTAAAACGTCTTGGAATGTATCAGTTAGTTAGCTGTGCTTCAAGAGTCCGTGCCTAACAGGTGTAATAGCAGTCTTCCTTTAATGACATCACCTGGGAGGCAGAGGCATGCGGACCCCTGTTCCAGGACAGCCAGGGCTAAATGTGAGACCCTGTCTCAAAAAACAAAACAAAAAGACTCAGTCCTAAACTACCACAGTTAGTATTAAACCCTACACATACACACACACACACACACACACACACACACACACACACACACACACACACACGAGTTTTTCCAGTGCCTTCCTCCTTACTTTTGCATTGATGTGATAAGCCATCGTGACCAAGGCAACGTTTGAAAGAAAGTATTTAATTGGGCATACATTTTCAGAGGTTTGGAGTCCATGATGGCAGAACAAAGGGACGGCAGCCGGAACAGCTGGGAGCTCGCATCTTCGTCCCTAAGCAAGAAGCAGAGAAAGGGCACACTGGCAAGGCTCTAAGCCTAGTGAGACCTCAAAGTCCGCCCTCCAGCGACACACCTCCTCTAACAAGACTATGCCTCCCAACCCCCCCAAATAGTCCCACCAACCAGGAACCCAAGTATTCAGACATCTGAGCCTATGGGGACCGTTCTCACCCAAACCTCCACAGCTGCGGACTGCTGGTAACGTCTAATTTACATGGCAGGCACAAGATGATAAACTATAATTAGGCGTGAGGTAGATAACCATATAGAGTTACAATGTCATGGAAGTTATAGGAATGAGCTCTTTCATACCCTGTTGTGCCGTGTTCACTACCTTGTGGGACAGTTACAAGGCCTTCCTGGTGAAGTGTGCTGACACTGTGATGCGGTCCTAGGCTGCTACGTAAAGATTACTCACAAGCAGACACTAGTCAAAATTATGTACAGTTTAAAACTTACTCATCATCTCTGGAACATTCCATTTACTATATTTTAACTGTCGTAGAGTAACAGAAGCAGCAGAAAGCGAAGTCACAGACATGGAGGGGAGGCCACTGTGTGTCCAAAATGGTTTACACATAATACATTTCCTAATTTGTTGGACCCCTTTGTAACCTGCTTATAGTTTATTAGCAGCGCTCATTCCTCACCTAACAGCGGTCTGCGCTGTGCGGCGGTTAACTTCTGCCCATTTTGATTACTGATTTGTGATTCTCTTAACTTGCCCTTCTAACACAGCTGGGCACTCCGTTATTGGAACTTCTGCTCTTATCGACATATGTAACTGTGAGTGTTCCGATTTCCGCAGTACCGTTGTGATGACTCGTGTGATTTTTTTTTCCTTTTTTTAAAATCTGGCAAACAGGATGTGACCTGGTAGCATGATGCTGTCACTGTGTATATCCACTTGTTGTGTGGTCAGATCTCAAGCAGCGTTCTGGTTTGTTTTCTATCCCTGTGATAAGCACCATGACCAAAAAGTGACTTGTGGAGGAAAGGGTTTGTTTGCGTTTATTGTATACGGCGCGTTATAAAGGGAAGTCAGGGCAGGAACTGGAGACAGGAGCCTAGAAGCAGGAGCTGACGCGGAGGCCACGGGGAGGAATGCTGCCATTGACTCACTCCCCGGCTTGGCTCGGCACAGAAAAGGCTGGCATCTCCTGCCAAAGGTTTAATTCCCCTGCCCGGTTCTCACTGGGGCTGTCCCCAGGCTTAAAGCCGTGTAAGAAACAGCCTGACTCTACGGTGCCACGTCATTCCAAGAGTCATTTCTTCTCTGGGCTCCCCTCACTTTTGATCCGTTTCCAGTGTTGATAGGATCTGAGTTGTTCTGTTGTGGGTCTTGTTTGATAATGTGCAAAGTCTGTCCTTCTTAGTTAAATACAGTCCACTGGTAGGCGGTAATTTGGTTATTTAAGTGTATATTTAAATAATAATAGTATGATTTTAAGACATAGAAAAATATTTTGAAGTAATACATTTTAACTATTTCGGAATACTTTTCTCTTAGGAAAAAATCTAACGACGCTGATAACTGTCAGAGAGAACTTAGAAAACTGAAGTTTGAGTCTGTTATCTCTGAGTCAAGGTATATACTGCAAATTTTTAATGAACATTTTAATAACTGCATTTAAACCATGTTTCTAAAAAATCATCTTATTGAGGGAGAATGTGCATGCCTGTTATTTTCTTGCTTATATATGTATTACCTAATTTGGACCTCCTGATATCTCTCCATTGTCCATGGCTTCTGTCTCTGCCAACATTGGTGTCACCAAGACTTTGGGTTCAGGCTTAGGAAGGACAGCATCAGTCTACATGGCAGTGGGGACATGACGTATATATGTCATCGGGAATAAAGAGATAAATGCAGCGTTCGACCTGCTTTCCCTTTTTCTGTCAGTCCAAACCCCCAGCTTATGAGATAGTGTCCTCCTCATTCAGGGTAGTTCTTCTCCCTTTGTTAAGCCTTCCTCCGAACAGCCCTGTAGGGATTTCCATGGCGGTTCTAAGTCCTGCCAAGCTGGCATGAAGACGAACAGTCTCAGCTCCACCCCTTGTCAACTTCCAGACTTTGACATCACAACATTTCCGCCGGGCTCCTGGGGGCCTCATTTTCATCCCGGGGTGCAGACCCAGTCTTGAAAATCCCCAACCTTGCTCCGAAGTCTCTTCCCCGAGACCGAAGGCTGCCTCTCTAAGTGAGACACCGTAAAACAAAGAGCCAAGTTACACACTCCTAATACATAACCCCACAGAGTACCGCATTCCCATACACAGGGAAGGAATGGTATTGCAACAAGGTAAGATCTGCCCAAAGCAAGTCAAACGGGTCAACACAAACACCAAACCCTGCAGTTCCACACTGCACATCGGGGGCTTGCGATAGAATTATCTGGGCTCTGATGGCCTTCCCCAGCACCTGTCCCTCCAAGTGTACCTCCTGCAGGACACACAGCCTTTCTCTTGGGCTTTCTCCTAGCCATGCTTGTAGCTTTCCTGGCTACACATTACCCAGCCTTAGCAGCTTTCTGGATTATTTGGTGAAAGCATCCATGACTCCCTGCCTGTAAAACCGGGACCAGGTGGATGGCACTGTCTTGTTCTTCAGCGTTCACGGGCTTCGCTTGCCCTAACTCCCAAGCTCTCCCACAGTATTCCCGCAAGCGGTTCCCAGGGCCTAGGAACCACATATTTATCTCACTCCCTGGCACCAGTTGTCTCGTTGTTGGTGAGCACAATACCTTAAAAATGCAACATAAGCCGGGCAGTAGTGGCGCACGCCTTTAATCCCAGCACTAGGGAGGCAGAGGCAGGAGGATCTCCGTGAGTTCGGGGCCAGCCTGGTCTACAGAGGGAGTTCCTGGACAGGCACAGAGAAACCCTGTCTCGAAAAACCAAAATAAAGCAAAGCAAAACAAAAGGCAACTTAAGAATGCAGGGGTTTGTTTTGGCTCATTTTTTTTGAGAATACAGCCCCTCATGGCAGGAAAGGCAGGATACAGAAGCATTAGGCAACGAGTTAATTCATCCAGAGAGTGGTGGATTACTAGAACCCATTCCTCTTTCCTTTTATTCAGTCTGGACCCCAGGCTATGGAATGGTTTCGTCTGTATTCAAAGTGAGTCTTCCCTCATTGCTTAAACCTTTCCAGAAACACCTTTATAGACACTCAGAGTCTGTGGTGATTGTCGATCTAGCCAAGTTGTCAATGAAATTAGTTACCACAGTGGGGAAAATCTAACATCAGAGAACTATCCATGTTCTTAACCTTTGTTTTTAAGTTATAGTTACGATGAAAGTTCTCCACATATAAAATCACAGCATAAATATAAAATAGTCATAGTGTCGAATGGATGTGTGTGATGCTATTTCTTGTTCTTTTTAGGCATAGTCGGCTACTTAAAGAAAAGGAAGACTCTTTAATGACTTGTCAACAACTGTATAAAACTCTCCAGGAAGAGCTGACTGCAAAAGAGAGACAAGAAGAAGATATAAAAAGGAGACTCAGCCTTGCAGAAAACGAACTAGAGATGACCAAAACTCGCCTGCATCAGACACAGGAAGAGATTTTAACCCTGAAAAACGAAAGGTGCAGGCAAGAATAATTCCTTAAAAAAAAACATTTTATCCTTAAATAAGCATTCAATACATATCTGAAGCATCGGTGTGGATGGTATCATAACATGAAAGTCAGGGCTGAGGACACGTTTCACACGTCAGTCCATTGAAACTTAAGTTTGTTCCCTCACTTTCAAGTGACTGAGCTGGCTCTCAGCTTGCCGAAATCGCCATCCCAAGTCTCCCATTTCGTCAGAGCAAAGATGGCGCTTGGGTTGCTTTGATGTCAGAATTTCACTCAACATTTGATCGCCTGTAGATATTTTGTAACCTCACCCAAAAATTGGTGAATTCTATTTTTAACATAAAAAAATGTGTGTGGGCTTCTCACCACTTTTCCGTTGTGCAGGCTTCTCCTTCTGCCTCCCCTTTAACCATCTTTCTGAGGGTCCTGTCAGGGCAGCGTCAATGGGACTGAAAGCAGTCTGGTCCACACTCTGAAGGTACTTTTGCTCTGGTCATCTGTCTTCTTCACATGAGCCTGTTCTGTAATAACACTTTGACTCTGTTTTGCTTGGTGCTTTAATTTGCCAAGAATGCCTTCACTCATTCTTGCTGAACACTTCGGTTTTAATTGTATATCTAATGATAGAATAGCATTTGGGTCTTCCCTGTTGTTGACTTTTAAAATAAGGCATAGAGAGTATTTCTTTTTACATGTAGTGATCTAATGATTACAGCCTAGAATAGTACAAGCCTTACAAGGACAGAAGCGTGAGCTTCCCGTTATTCTCTCTCTGCACATAGGATGCTGATGATTGGTCAGCTACTTATTATTACTAGGAGCTAAAAGAAATTTTATTTGCTGCTTTTCGGGCATGTGTGTGTGTGTGTGTGTGTGTGTGTGTGTGTGTGTGTGTGTGTGTAACACATGTGGTGATCAGGGATATCTCTGTGGAACTGGTTCTCTCCTTCCACCTTTACACAGGTGCTGTGGTTACCAGGCCTTTAGCAATCATCTTCCTGTCCGTCTCCTTTCACTTTAATCTCATTAAAAGTTTTTGTTAGCGTTGAGCATTATTTATAAATTTTATGACTCTTTTAGTTTTCCTTCATAATTACAGCTATTTTCTGAGAATACTTCTGGGGTAGGGATGCAGCAATAACAGATAACAGGAATGTTTAGTTAGATAATTGGGCTTGTTGCTCAGAACTCTCTCTCCGCGGCACAGTGGTGGACTGTGGGAGTCATCGGTTTGTACTGCAGGCTAGCGAATCTTCCCAGTTCCCTAAGAAACAAGGCTCCTCTCCAGTGCTTCATGGGTTGATCGCATTTCTACTTCTCTTTGACTAAATGCCAACTGCAGAGCCAAGGCCACCCACATTCCTTCTTCACTGCACGATGCCAGTAACCTGATTCTTGAGAGTATGTGTCTTTGTACCTACCCGACTCTTGATCAGCCCCTTATCTTCTTCATTTCATGATTGGATAGTATTCAACATTACAGGTATTTTCTTCTTCATTTCATGACCAGATAGTAGTCAATATTATATGTATTTTCTTCTTCATTTCATGATTGATAGCTTATTACAGACTGCAACCTTATAAGCAAGAAATGTAAACAAACCAGGCTTATTAAAGGAGTAACTGCTAGCCGGGCGTTGGTGGCGCACGCCTTTAATCCCAGCACTCGGGAGGCAGAGGCAGGCAGATCTCTGTGAGTTCGAGACCAACCTGGACTACCAAGCGAGTTCCAGGACAGCCTCCAAAGCCACAGAGAAACCCTGTCTCGAAAAACCAAAAAAAAAAAAAAAAAAAAAAAAAAAAGAGTAACTGCTAGAAAAAAATGAGCATGTGTAAGCCTAAAGGAAACCTCTGTATGGACAAAATCATTGTAATTTAGACAAACATTACAGTGTTTATTAGAGATATATTAGAAATATAGACCGATGGCCCTAGGTATGTCAATAACTTCAGAAATGTCCTCCCTGTCCTTATAATGTGGGTTAATAATCAGTAACCATAGTGATTGCCCATCATCTGAAAGCACTTTGTGTTCTATAGAGAATGCACAGAATTACAATCCTCGAAAAGATACAGTGAAATAAAAACCTCACAAGTCTTTGGTTTAGAACCTTGCTCATCTGCAGAATTCTTATGTCATCTAGCATTCCCTGGGTTCACAAGGCTTGTCTATGTATGGGTGAATGTCTGCCACAGTGGTTGATCTCCTATCTTTCAAATCAGTGGTTCTCAACCTCCATAATGCTGCGACCTTTTAATACAGTTCTTCATGTTGTGGTGATCCCCTAGGATAAAATTATTTTGTTGCTGCTTTATAACTGTAATTTTACTACTGTCATGAATCATAATGTAAATATCTGATATGCAGGATACCTGATACGTAACCCCCTTGGGTTGAGAACTGCTATTTTTAAATGTTTATGGAAATCTTCTCTGATGATTGATCTAAGTATGCATGATTTACATTGTCACCAGTGTGATGAACATTCACCCGTTAGGAGCAAATCCAAAAAATTTGGAAGCAATGGGAAGTAAATAGACATATTTAATACACTGAAAAGACTGGTAGCTGGCCATGGGTTACACATCTGTAACCCAGCATGGAGGAGACTCTGAGGCAGAAGGATCACTGCAAGTTTGAGACCAGGCCAGACAGTTTGACCCTGTCTTAAACAAAAACAACAGCAAGGAATTCAGTGGTGAAGCAAGAGCTCTGTATTTTGTAGGCTTTTTGAGTTGGGTAAACCTCAATTTACATCCAAGCTTAGCCACTGTCAAACTTGGGCAACCCAGCCGTGTTACCCTTTTCCTTAGGTGCAAATTGGGCATATTAATGCCAGATATCTTTGTGTGGACGCCAAAGCATCCCGCACTTTCCTCATACATTACAGACGCTCTGTAGTATCGTGTCTTCTGTTTAATCTTTATTTTTTTTAGACCACTGCCTCCTTAAATCATCATTTTATAGCCTACTGTCACCGCGGAGATACCCAGCAAAACAGCTGTTGAATTCAGTATTACCTGCTTTATTCGTAAGATGGAATATGTTAATCCCTAGGGTGACTCCACTTTGATGTCATTGCTAGAGTATAGATTGTTACTAAATGAAGTGTTCAGTCCATCTTCAATAACACCACAGTTTTCTCCCAGACTCACCATTTTCTCTGGTTTCCTATCCATCAACAGCTTTGAGAGCAACTTGCTTGCCCGGCTTCTTATGCTATCACACACTTGCCGTCTTTAATGGAGGCAGGGACTGTGGCAAAAATCAAAATTATCTCTTTGATTGACAATGTGAAGACATCTCTAAAAGAACAATTTGTGAAGCGGGACTTAAAGCTGTTGTTTTGGCATTCTGGTTTGACGTTTGTTTGCAGTTACATTTTTAACTGCAATTAAGGGAATCTAAAATCTTGCATTTATATAAGAAATTAGAGTCTCGTTTTCTTTGGGGGCTGAGAATTTAGAAGTTAGCTTTTAAAATAAACACCCTTAATTGCAGGGACATCCTAATTTGCCTATTGTGTCAACACTGAAAATGTTGATTTAAGGGAATCTTGGTGAATTGCGGGGTAGAGGGCTAGAGAGAGCCAGCCATGGCTCGCTTGAGACACCTTCGGAGACAGGCAGCGCTCTGACACAGCGTTGGAGGCCCTGCACTGGTGCAGTCTTACACTAGTGTGGCCACTTGGCGAATCATAACACCTCCATCGTTTGCTCTCTGGTCTGCATTTCTTCTAACAATGGGAGTTGCGTGGACACATTTCTAAGAAACATTAAGAACTGCTGCAGCTGGGCGGTGGTGGTGCACGCCTTTAATCCCAGCACTTGGGAGGCAGAGGCAGGCAGATCTCTGTGAGTTCGAGGCCGGGCTGGACCGACAGCCTCCAAAACAATACAGAGAAACCCTGTCTCGTAAAACCAAAAAAAAAAAAAAAAAAAAAAAAAAAAGAACTGCTGCAATCCCCAAAGACAAGAGCAGGCCCTCCGTATGTCTCTGCTGTCAGGATGAGGGTGGGTTTCGTCCACAAGCCACCGGTCACAGGATTTGAAACCTAGAAGCTCCTCCCAAATTTTCTAGGGCTTCTGGATCACTGAAAACAAGAGCTGGGAGGAAAATGGCTGTGCGGGGTCCCGATGGAGATCTCGTTCGCTTGGTTTTTGTAAAACTCAAATTTAGGGTTTTCAGTCTACGGTGTTTCCCACAATCCTAAGACATCAGTATCTCTGGAACCAGTTCTGAAGAAGCCCAGTATCTACACGGATGGAGCTTTAGCTTCTTTGACACATTGGCTAAACCATTATAATTTTTATCTTTCCTAATTCCTGTAGGTCTCTAACAAACTACAGTCAGGGCTGGTCCTTTCAGCTTGTTTCAAGATTGCTTTCTCTTATCATTAGGCTGTGTGCAAGCCCTTCCATGGGCACACAGCCTAATGTTTGCACTTCAGGGTATCAGAATGAATCATCACAAAATGCATTATTCATTTAGAATTCTGTTCTAATCAAGGATGGTGAGCTCTTAGGACACCATGCATAGGCACTCGCTCTTCTCTGCCCCGTTAAAGACTTCTCAGAGCCAGGAACAGGGGCTCAGCAAGAAAGGCCCTTGCTATGGTACGTACAGATTCAAACAAAATTTCCCTCACAGATGTAAATTCATAGGATAACCGTTTACTTAAAGCTCCCTGTACTTTGTGGGAATGTTCTAACAGATTCCTCAATTCTTTGGAAAAAGTTAGTGAATAATGATAGCTTTCTTAGCCTTGTTTGAACCTGGTCCTGCTCTATTTCAGTTACAATAGTCTACTAGATCCGAAGGGTCTTTTTCCCCTTCTTTTTTATTTAAATTAGAAAGAAGCTTGTTTTACATGTCAGTCCCAGTTCCCTCTCCCTTCCCTTCTCCTGTGCCCCCCTCCCACCAATCCTCTATCCTATCCCATTTCTACTCCACAGAGAGGGTGAGGCCTTCTAGGGGGATCATCAAAGTCTGTCATATCATTTGG